GGTTTAGGGTTTATAAGATTTAGGGTTTAGGGTTCCGGATTTAGGGTTTAGGGTTCCGGATTTAGGGTTTAGGGTTTAGGGTTCCGGATTTAGGGTTTAGGGTTTAGGGCAGTTTAGGGTTCCGGATTTAGGGTTTAGGGTTTAGGGTTCCGGATTTGGAGTTTAGATTGTAAAGGTTTTGACTTTCTGGTTTAGGGTTTGAGGTTTTGGTTGGAGGGTTGCTGACCATACGGCTGCTCTGCAAGCCTCAGGGTTAAGGTGAAAAGGGGTGCTGAATAGTCAGTACCGGTATTCCTTGCAGCCCCGACCTATTCATCTCCCCGAACGTCCACAGCGAAAACTTTACGGCTTGGGTTTAAAGCGTCTGTCCTACATTGTCCATGTTGACAGCCCTGAAGTTATGCATGAAGTGCTACGGCTTCTCGCTATGGGTGTCATAATTCTAGGAACCTGTACTGAAGCCTTATTAGAAGGCTTATCTGTATCTCTCTGAGAACCCAGTAAAGAAACTTCGAATGTTTTTGGAGTCTTGAAAGAAAAAGGCCCATATCGTCCCCGTGTACCAACACCAGGATAGGCCACCAAATCTTATTCTAAACCCTAAACCCTAAACCCTATTTAAACCCTAAACCCTTATTCTAAGTTCAAGGATCGTGTCGTGTTTTCTTGACCCACCACAGCCTGCTAAGCTCTGTGTCATCTGGTTGCATTCTGCCTGCCTTTTGTGACTTCCCTTATTCGATACGTACCAAACGTGTCAATTCAGATCGTAGGGCTTTCAACCCTAAACCCTAACCCTTATCCTAAACCCTACGCCCGGCCCGAAACCATAAACCCAAAGCGAAATCCTAAACCCTAAAGCCCAAATCCTGAATCCGTAATCCTGAACCCTAAACCCAAACCGGAAACCCTAAACTCTAAGACCCTGAAAGTGCGAAAAAAGTGCAGCTCAGCAACGACGAAGGTACTGTTCAGCACAGCTTTTTGACAAGGATAGCGGCCGGGGCGTATAGCTTTGAACACCGCTTGCCATGCATGACCCCAGGCAGTGCTTTCGCACGAACCTTCCCTGAAGTCCTTGCATCCGAAATTAGCATGTAAACACCTCAAATGTGTTTCGGAGCTACAGACACGCCTTCACTTGTCAAATGACAGCTCTTGCAAGTTGGAAACAGAGGCCATCAATGACCATCAAGTGTGAAGCATCACATACACACCACCAGTGTTACTGGAATGAGTGAAAACCGAACCTATGGAAGTTCGAATTGCGCGGATAACCAAGTATCCGAGGGAAGTACGCGCGACAAAGCGCCTCGTCAGAAGCACCCCTGTACGCAGCCCTCGGACTACTGAAGGATGCAATCGCCATAGCAGCATGAGGCCATCTAGCAGCGCAGACTGCCAAAACCGTACCTCCTGCAGACAGATACATAGCCCTGGCCAGACTTCCAACATCATAGCCCCAGACATTGGAAACAAAGCTATTGGTGACAGGGTAGTCAAGGGCAATGGCTTTCAGAGCACTGAAATCCTAAGACCCTAAACCCTAAACCCTCAACCCTAAACCCTAAACCCTAAACCCTAAACCCTGAACCTTAAACCCTAAACCCTCAACCCTAAACCCCAAAGCCGCTAAACTTTTGGGGTTATAGGCCCTTGAAGCTCGAGTGGAAAGGCTTGGACGTCGTCCCAAAACCTCCCAGCCTGAACTCTTCAGGGTTTAAGGGTTTATTTATATATATATATATAGGGTTTAGGGGTTTAGGGTCTAGGATTAGGGTCCAAAGACTCAGATTCTAAGACTTTTGAGGGTTCAGGGTCTAGGGCCCAAAGACCATACTATATAGGGCTGTTAGGTTATTTTGAGCCCTAGTAACACATGAAGCTCTGAAGCTTGCCTTATGCCTGGTGAGGCAGTTCGCTCCACCAACAACACCATCATGTGCTTCCGCACTCAAAACTTCAATGTCTCCCAACTGGGAGCCCAGCCCAACGTTTATGCAGCTTGTCAGCGCAAGTATGGGGATCTAGGAGTGTAGGTCAGACAGAGAGTTAGGCTTTAGGTTGATTATAGTTTATTGTTTGTTGAGGTTTAGGGTCTATAGGGTTCAGGGTTTAGGGGCCCACGTGCAGATGGCGTCTAGGCTGCACGGCTCTAAGCAAGAAAGGCAAAGAAGCGCCCGCATCTACTTGCAGCAATAGCTAGCTACTGGAAGCCATGGGCTAGACACAAATGATGACTGAAATCGAAAGCGTAAGGTGATAAGATTCAATCGCCCACGCAGACTGTTACCTAACCACATGCATAAGTTCGTGCGTAATTGCATATCGCGAAATCAACTTGATAGTGTCGACCGGTCTGTTTTCTCTCGGCGTTTATTGCGCTTCTATTTCGAGGTCAGGATACTTGCCCAAAGGGTCCAATGTACCTATATAGTATAATGTAGGGCTTCTGTATTAGGAATAATTTTTATGATTTCGGAAAGTATCCCCTATAACAGTACCTAGGACCCTTTGGGTTGGTCAACTCAGTCACAGGTATATGCCGTGTAGCAAGCACATGAATCGAGACGTTAGCTTCGGTCTGAACAACGATACAAACCGCATAATTCATGCAGACATCATGGGATACATGCACAGACGTACAATCAGTAAGTGTGCAATGCATCTAATCATGTGCATGCAACATGCATATGTGCATACATTCGTAACATACATACGCACATACATGCATGAAAGCATTCATGCATACATACGGTAGTAGATCCATGTATGCGGGCACACGTACAAACACACAGACCGACAGAGTCAGACAGGCAGGCGGGGCAGGCGCACGATGTATACAGTTCCCGACAACATAGTTTGCGGACTCGATGGGCTCCTATGACAAAGGTTTCTGGAATTAGAGCTTACCTGAACACCTTCAAAGCTAGGTTTTTCGAGTATCTGTGTAAGGAACTCGTATCCAGGAGTTGGAGTTTTCGTTTTTTTGGGCCAGATTCCGGCCACGCCCGTAGCCCATCCGAGTCTGGAAGGTAGATGTAGGGCCCTGAACAAACAAGGGCCCCATAAAGTGTTGTGGGATTTCCGGGTTTAGGGTGTAGAATGATTACAAATATTCTGCCTTCAGGTTCCTTAAGTAGTCTAGGGTTTAGGGTTTAGG